GCCCCTCCTGGACACGCCCCGTCCTCTGGGCACGCCCCTCCTGGACACGCCCCGTCCTCTGGGCACGCCCCTCCTGGACACGCCCCGTCCTCTGGGCACGCCCCTCCTGGGCACGCCCCATCCTCTGGGCACGCCCCATCCTCTGGGCACGCCCTGTCCTCTGGACACGCCCCTCCTCCTGGACACGCCCCCTCCTCCTGGGCACGACCCTGCCCTCCTGGATACGCCCCTGGCTCCTCCCCACCTCCTCCCTGGCTCCTCCTGGCCTTCTCCCTGGCTCCTCCCCGCCTTCTCCCTGAGTCTTCCCCAACTCCTCCCTGGCTCCTCCCCGCCTTCTCCCTGAGTCCTCCCCGCCTTCTCCCTGAGTCCTCCCCGCCTTCTCCCTGAGTCCTCCCCGCCTTCTCCCTGAGTCTTCCCCAACTCCTGCCTGAGTCCTCCCCGCCTTCTCCCTGAGTCTTCCCCAACTCCTCCCCGAGTCCTCCCTGCCTTCTCCCTGGCTCCTCCCCCCCCTCCCTGAGTCCTCCCCACCCCCTCCCTGGCTCCTCCCCGCCCCCTCCCTGAGTCCTCCCAGGCAGGTGTCCTGCCACATTTTGACCAGTGTGTGACTTGCTGAAACAAGGCTGGGCAGCCAGCGGACGATGACGAAAGAGGCGCCAAGCTCAGCCTGGAGCGGGCGTGAGCATCTCGCCACAGGGGCAGCTGCAGGGCTGCGCGGGCTGTCGCCCCAGAGCGCGGAGGGGCGCGGGGGGAGGGCTGGCGGCTGCGTTCAGGCCTGGGGCTCCCCCGGCCCGTCGCTGCCGCTGGCGTTCCCGGGGCGCGTGGGGGCCCTCATGGCCGGGCAGCGGGCTAGCGTGCCCTGACACCTGTGGGGGTCGCCTGCTTGTTTCTCAGGGGTGACCCTCTGCTGCAGTGACCTGGGGGGGCATGTGGAGGTGACCCTGGCGGTTCACCCTACGCCTCTCGCTGGACTCCCTAAAATCCCCGGGGCGGTTTTAGGCCCAAACTCGCTGGAAGTGAGCACTGACTGCTGGGCTCAAACGTGCCGGACGCCCGAGTGTCCCGGCCTCGGGGGCTGCCCGTCTGCCCCGGGCGCCAGGCCGCCCGCATGAGCAGGCCTGCGCTGGCCGCAGGTGGCCCACGCCCGCCGTGTGGGGGACTGTCCGGCCCGCGAGTGGGGGCACGCATCTCTAGGTGACGGAGAAGCTTGGCCTCCCGCCATGGCCTCCCGGGCACCTCGGCGCCAGCCCAGGGACAGACGGACAGGCCAGGCGCAGAGGCCAGACACGGGGCAC